CCCCTTCCCTGATACTATGCTGGCTAGCACTTGCCAATTCTTGGATGTAGAGGTCAACGGATGCCACTGCCTTTATCTGCTGGTTTTGTGCTCTACTGCCTGTGGGCACCCTGATCTGGGGCGCAGACTTGGACTCACAGAGTGCTGAGAACGTTTCCTCTGCCATGGAGGGAACTGTGGTCTCAACGTGTCTGTTTGCCTTCTCTGCCTCTGATTTTAAAGACAGGTATATGGTTCTACCTTTAATAAAGTACATAAAATGTTTCACATCTAACTGTTCCATGTAGGGGAAAGACGTTTATTATTATTAGTTTTGGGATATTTCTAGTTTGGGAGGTCTTTGGGTAGCATTGGTAACAATGCACATAGTAATTCATTAATTAACTCTTTGCTGACACCTGATGATATAGAGATGGGATCCAATACACATTCCTCACACAGAATGCAGTTTACTACCTAATCTTGGAGACCAGGCCTGCCCCGAGGGCATGTAGGTCTCCTCTGTCACTGCAGACAGATCCAAACTGCCCTAGCTCACGAGGCAAATGGATGCTAGGGACAGGAGGAGGAATATGTTTTCCTTTTTTTAGACTGTGGGCAAGAGGCAGGTTGTATCAATTCTCACATTCTGGATTTATTTTCTTGTTTGTCCAATCAAGATAATAATACCTGACCTATTTTAGAGTTGTTTTGAGGATAAAATAAAGTCAGTGCATATGGAACTCCAAAAATAAGTAAATAAACAACACTCCATAAACATAAGACATTAGGATGCATTCCTCTCCCTGCTGACAGGTACGACAAAACCTTGTTTCTCCCACACCTGGCTTGAGAACAGGAGGGATGCCTGCTGCAGCTGCTTTCCGCAGCACGTGTGCAAATTGCTTTTCTGACACTATCAGAAGTTGTCTGCGCTGAGAGGGGACAAGCAAAAAGCTTTGTAAATGTGGATATGGGAAGGCTTGCATTCTGCCCCCAGTGCTGGCAGCCCTTTTTCAAAGTGAGAACAATTTTAAAAGCCGAGATGATCTCATAGGTCTTTCTGCTTCTGAAACAGATGGTGTGATTCACATACATTTGACATAAATGCACCAGGTTGTGATGATTTGCCTCACTGTGCTCAGCTGAAGGGTGGGTTAACTAGCAATAATATGCTATGGAGGTAAAGCACGACCTTAGATTAACACCGAAGGTGGGAGTGGAATACTTCGTGGTTACTGTAGCTAATTGTGACTTGGGGCCCTACACTTCCAGTGACTGACCCGTAACTTTTGACAAGACACTGGAGGTCCGCTAGAGACCTTCAAAAGCACCACTGATTTCTGTGTGCAGGCTACCCATCCTTAAAAGCATTATAATACACCCTTCCTCTGAGAACAGTGTGGGTAACAATTAATGACTAATAATGCCGAAGAGACAGCAGCCATCAGTAAAGCTCTAAGCACTATTCGGACTGTTACCTAGAAATATCAGTGAAAGGCAAAACTCAGGTTTCTAGAAAATGTGTCCACTGCTTTTCCCTGTCAAGACAACCATCTCCCCTCTCCAGCCCTATGTAACGGACTTTGTGTGATAACTGAAATATTCTCTATTTACCTTGTCCAGCAATAGCTACCATTCATAAGGTACGTCAAATTATGGCTTTTGAGGCTTGGAACTAAATTTTATATTCACTTTAACTGACTGAAATGTACATGGCAACAGCCACATGTTTGACAGCACAGTCCTGGCCAAGGGAAACCTCTCAAAGTACCTGCATGAAGGTAATATTAGGAAGGCAGTAGAAAGTAAGTCAGGTAATGGATCAGCCAGACTTTATCTTCCGAACAGCTTTTTTGGTAGTTCAATGTAAAGGTCCCAGTCCCCCAATACATGATGTATGAGCAAAACAAATGGTGAATGCTTCAAAAATTTTTTTTAAATTTTATTACAGTACAAGACACATTGCCATTAATCACCCTCAAAAGACTCCTTGCTTGGGACCCATTTATCTCATTGCACTTGCCACTTTCTGAGGCACTTCCAGAAGTCCTCTTTCATGTCTTTAGTTGGGCTGTTATGGCAGCCTTGATGTCCTGAATCCATTCAAAATATTTACCTTGCATGGTCATTTCGACCTTGAGGAAGGGCCAGAAGTCACACAGTGTGAGGTCAGGTGAACAAGGTGGATGAAGACACACTAATATTTTACAAGTCTGCCTTTCCACGGATGGCTCTCAGCAGCAGCATTCACTGTATTTTTGATCATACCTCATAAAGACACCCACGAAAGAGGATTTCCAGAATTGCTTCAGAAAGTGACAAGAAGGATGAGGGAAGTATGTTCCAAATGAGGGGGCAGATTCTGAAGGGTATTAACAACAATGTGTCTTTTACTATAATACATTTTCAAAAAAATTTAATATTCACTGTATATTTTGATCACCCTTTGCAGGTCAGCTAATAAGCAAAGAGCAAGAAAGGAGTTGAAATCATGTTCCCTTTCACTGCAAACCTGGAGTTTTTTTTCTCTCTTCCATGTGAATTCTGCGACAGGAAACTGCATTACTCTATGGTCAGTACCCTGAGGCCTTCCTCACTGCCTCCCAGAGTTCCCACAGCCCAAGAGGGCGAGGAGAAGGAGGGCGCTCTCCTCAGTTTCCATCCTCACCGTGATGGGTACTTACTCGAACTCTACAGGGCAGAAAGAACTTCTTCTCCCGCACACCTTTGTTTATTAGCACGTGTTCTTGGTCCACTTTCTTTCCTGAACAGTGTGCTTTGCAGGTATTGTAAATACTAATGGAATAGGTCCTCCGTCACAGTAATTGTCCTTGTGCCCTGCCCAGCATGGTGGAGAGGTAATTAGGGGCTTAATCAATGTTTCTCCATAATGGATAAAAGATTATTACATTCAGTGCAATTTTTACACTAGCTGCATTTTAGGCTTTTTTTTTTTTTTCAGTTCACCATGTTTCAGGGGAAAAAAAATATCATTGCCCTTATAAGATTTTTTGAGAAGAGAGGGTTAGGATTGGTTATCTGGAAGAAGGACTTTTGGAATCAGTTGTGTACTTTTCAGATTGATGTCACAAGGATTTGAAGGTTAGGAAAACAGACCTGAACACAGTTGAGGGAAAAAGCGTGAAAAATACATTACTGTTCCAGTTTACTCACTAAGGAAATCGAAATAAAAACCCTTACTCACGGAATAGTCACTGCAGTGAGATGGAATAGTCTGCTAAGGACCAGTAAGGAGTATGATGACTGACAGTGGGAAGGGACAGTGCAGTTGGAGTAAGTTGGGAACTAGGTGCTATCATAGCACATCTGAATAAAGGGTCCCAATTAGCTGCCCTTACCCTGGTCTCCTCTCTTCTCTCTGCCTGTCTGTCTTTGTCTCTATCTCTGTCTGTCTCTCTTTCTGGTGGTACTAGTGATTGAACACTGGGGCTTGCACACAGAGCTACATCCCTAGTCCTTCTGTTTTGTATTTTTAGACAGTGCCTTGTTCTATCATTAAGTTGCAAAGGCTGGGCTCGAACCTGTGATCCTCCTGCCTCGACCTCCCAGAGTGCTGGGACTGTAGACACGTACCACCGTGCATGGCTCCACTGTCTTCTATTTAGCTCCTTTTTGTTTCCTAAGATTATTTTGAAGGAGAAAATCATTCATTCTTCTCCCAAATTCACCCTAAACTGGAGGATCAAAATATTACTGATGAAAAATTAAAATTAATTGAGTAATACAATTTCTCCCATCTTATTTCAAACTCTACAACAAACAGCACTTTAAGGTAATGATTCTCAGAAGTGAGGTATTTGGGGTAGCTGCACTAGAATCACCTGGGAATTTGTCAGAAATGCAAATTCTTGAGTCACTCCCTGCCCCAGAACTACTAGAGCAGAAACTTTGGGGGTGGAGCCCGGCCATTTGCATTATTTTAAAAAACCTCCACATGATTCTCATGCAGTAATGTTTAAGAACCACTGCTGAAATGATTTGATGTTATACTAAACAAACAACCCTCAGATGTCAAAATCTTTTCTAATTCTATAAATAAGGTCTGGCCTAGCACTAACCATGCCCGGCCAACAGTGAATAGTTCTCAGATCTAATACATCTTGTGCCGCCCAGCATCTGATTAAGCTGCCCCTCTGCTCTCTGGGGAGGCACCCAGGATGGGGCAGGCTGGTCCTGCTGAGCTGAACCACACACTCGTTTGCTTTCTTGTGTGAGGCAGAAAAACAGGAAAGGGGGCACATGCAGGATCTGATCTTTGAATTCAAAGATTTCTCTGAAATCCACCAATTTTAATCACTCTTGTTGAAATAGAACAAATACTTAGTACTTCCTAATCACTATTTCACAAACGACAATCAAAAGAAAGTGTTTCTAAAATTAGAAATAAACCTTCTCAGATAATTGTTCATCAGCCACACTAAACCATGCGCCCTTCAGGATGACCACCGGAGGTGACCAGGGGCAGCGTCTGGATAATCCACCTCCAGTGTTATGTCCACACACTCATTTCCCAGCTCCTTGACCCTTCCACGCCACGCTTATTAACCGATATCTTCTAGTCATAAACACAGTCCCAGTCCCAGATTGTGAGGTGAATTATGGAGAACTGTTTGTCCAGATGATGCAAAGGCTTTCAAATTTCTGTTCAAAAACAATGCTTACTCAAGTAGCACAGACTTTATCTGCCCCAAGAAGTGTCAGACCATCAGGTGCACAATGTTGTTTCATGATCTTTTATATCCCCTTCCTAAGAAAAATGGAAATGTAAACTTTGCTTGGTAACTTTTCTCACTTTAAATTGCACCTCTCATCACGACCTATCACACCCACACAGTCATGTGCCATAGGCGCTGCAGACTGTCTCCAACATTTCAAAGGCTCCAAAGCTATTTTTAAAGACAAAATATAATCTAAGTTGCTATTCTATAAAGCACTTTTTAAGGTAAGAACAAAGTAATAGAGCAATTTCTATGCACGTGGGCAGTCGGCCTACTCACCGAAAGACTGAATGCAGCTGTCGATGAGGTCGTCCAGGCTGGCTCCCTTGGCTAGGTGTCCCAGCGACACCATCATTCGGAACTGGGTGATCTGGGCCAGGCTGGGATGGGAGGGGAAGGGGCTGCTGGCTGGTTTTGCCTCTAGTCTTGCTTTAGGGGCAGCTCTGGAGCCATGGGAAGGTTTCCTGGGGAAAAAGAAGGCAGTGAGGACAGGCAGCGTAGCTAGGGACAAACTGGCAGCTCAGGGCTCTGGCACTGGATAGGAGAAAAGGAGCAGAGATAAGACAATTAATCCCAGGAGCAGGACTGATAGAAACCATACCCCTCCCACTTGGCCAATGCACCAAACGGACTGGTTGGCTGTTAAAGAGACATCTCCTCAGCAAATGACAGGTGAGATTTCAGGACTGCAACTAGGGCTCTTAATCCCCAGCGCTAGGATGGCTCTGTCCTGCTGTCTGTCTCCCGGTTCCCCCAAGGGAAAGGCAGGACTGTACCCTGCCAGTCCTTAGCTGCCTGATTTTATATATACAGTACATATAATTTACTGCTAGCCAGAGCTAGGCCGCCGGCTTGGATCTAAAGAATTAAGTTGGTCTCATCTTCACTGAAGTTTGTCTTGAGCAACACCCGAGATGCTACAGAAGACCAGGAAGACTCGGCAACAGCTTTGAAATCTCCGTGGGGGAAGTCAAAGTCTGAAGGGAGTGAGGAGTTATGGTGGCAGTGTTTAGACTTGAAGTTACTCTGCCTTTCTTACAAAGTTTGGTTGACCTTAAGAAACTTTCATTATTAATAGTACAGGTAATCATTATGAGTCGTTTTTATCCTTAAACATTATTCCATGGAGTACCTACCTGGGTCATTAACAATTAAAAATGAAAGATAAGCAATGAAACTTGTTTCAGAGATAAATGTGGAAGCATAAACTTAGATCTGGCTATGGCTTAGGAGTCCAATATACTTTTATCTAATCACACTTGGCTTTATGTGTGTGACTTGGTAAGAGTCATTTGGTGAGAGGATTTATGAAAGTGAAGCATTTTATTTTATTTTCCTATTTAAAAACATAGCTATGGATCTTTATCTTAAGACTTACTAGTGATGGCATTGCTGCTGGTAACGTTTGGGCATATAGTTAATTCTCTTTCTTTTTTTTTTTTTTTTTTTTTTTTTTTTTTTTTTTTTTTTTTTTTTTGGTTTTTCTCCGGTACCGGGAACCGAACTCATGACCTTGCACTTGCCAGGCAGGCGCTTTGCCACTGAGTTAATCCCCAGCCCCTTTAATTCTCTTTCTACTGTAGCTTTGGTTACTTTATAGATACACAACCCAGGTTCATAATTTTAGCTCCTCCCCACATATAATATGCACAAAATGGCATGGTTATTAAGAGCTTATTCTGGGTAAGACATTGTGCCTGACTAAGGGGGACGACAGTGAGATAGTCTTTGTGAGAGTACTTGTTAAACTATAAAATATGCTCATGCAAACTATAAAACATGTTAGTTGCTACTGTACAGAGGTGATCTAGAATTTCCTTACTATAAAAATACCTAGCTGGGGAATCCATGAAGCAGTAACTACATAACTCTTAAATAAGTGTCCTGTGAGTGTTGCCAATAGTAAGTGATGTTCTAAGAGAAAGGAGAAGCAATTTCTGGGGTATTGTTTGGAAGAGCTTCTCTGACAAGATAAAATCTCACCTAGATAGAGCTGAAAAAGACTTAGATCAAATAAAATGTAGGGCACATCTGGGTTCGGGAAACCAATCTGCTCAAAAGGCAATTCTCTGAACATGGGCCATTTAGCATATGGCCAGACCCCCCAGAGGAAGGGTCCCAGGGGTCTGCAGGGCCCTGGGGCTCTGTTCCACCCTGGAGGAAGGCCTACGAATGGAATCACTTGCTGATTACTGGGCATCTGCTAATTGAAGGGTCTGACTCCTGAGAGAGCAAGCTTGTGCGATAGGACTCGACCAAGGCTGTAGCCTATACTAATTTTTATCTAGGCCCTGACATAGCATCAGAAACAGATTGGTATCTGAGAAAAAAATGATAATCTACAAATAAAACACTCACACACACCGCGAACCGAAAGTCTACGTTCTGAAGGCACTGTGCTGGGGATTTACATCGTCTCTGAAGCCTACAGTCTAGAAAGATGTTATCTCCATCACATGATGCTGAAGCTCAGTCTGAAAGAAGCTAAATGACATAGCCAAGGCCCAATGACTCATACGTGCTAGATCTGGGATCTGTACCTGGCACCTCCCTGGCTTGATGCATTTAATAAAGATCTACTGTGCCTGCACCCATGCACCTCGCACAGCATCACAACTGGCAAGCAGACTGTCACAGAGAGGGTGACAAAGCTAACTCAATGTAAAATTAAAGTCAAATCCCTCAAAGGCACAGCTGCTAACGTCGAGGCTGAATGGCAACCCCATCTGCAGGTCTCAGGAACTGTGTTCAGGATGCCAGGGCTGGACGCACTCTTCATAGTCATTTTCCAAGCCCCTCATCTATCGAGGCGGAAAGCCAGGCTTGGAAGGGCAATGCCACTGGTGCAGAGCATGCCAGAAGGTGGCCTCCTCTGTCCCTGGACACTTCCCAGATGGGCTCCCTACCCCCTCCTGCAAGCACTGACAGCTCTAAGTCCAGTCTGGTGTCACATTAGTCAGCTTCTGCCTCAGCTGCTGCCACTGCACCAAAGGCACAGTCAGGGAAAGACAAACATTCCATCCCGCATGGTAAACGTCTCTTTTTCACTCAGGCCTTTCACTGGACTTCTCTCTGGACCCTGGAGAAGAGGCAAGGGCGCCTACGGGCTGTCTCTGCACACAGAGCTCCTCCTGCTGGGGCTGGGCAGGTGTGTGGAGGGCCAAGGGAAATTCCATTTTCTCTCTGGGTTGGTGCTTAACATTCAGGACTCTTGAATCCGGCCACTCCCTAGTTTCAGTGATACATGCCAGACCCAGCAGCAAGGGAAAGCAGTTCGGTTCATACAGCAATTCTCAGACTTCGGGGTTTTTGCCAGAATCAGGAGGGGTGAGGATGGACTCCGGAATACAGAAAGATATAGAAAGAAGTATTTAGAATAGAAAAACGGGCAAACAGGGTAAAAGATGGGCCCTGGGAAATAGGGAAGCCAGAGGGCTTGGGCGTGAGAAACCGGGGGAAAAGAAAATATTAAACACCAGCTGCACCCTAATTGATCCGGGAAGATCTGACCATGTGCCTCCTTAGACAGAAACTGTTCTTGCGGCACATCGACGGGTGGCAAGTCCTCAAGGCTCTTCTCAATTCCTGTGATGGCAGACAAGGACTCCTAAAGTGCCTTTATTTTCATAAGCAGTTTTAAGAGCATGTTAAGAATCCACAGAAGGAACAGCCTTTAATTCTGCAAAGGTGTATTTTTAAAGGACGGTAGCCAAATGTTTCCCGTTTAATTTGCGAATAAAAAAAATCAACAACAAAAAACGCCTGAGAAAAACAAATGAACTTAAAGGTGTTTTTCAGAGCCTGAAAGAGGCCAAAGCCCCCAGGTCTTGCTGAAGGAAGCTGTGGAAACTGTGAACCCCAGGCAAAGGGCAAAGATATCTCAGTGGGGTCTCGGTTTCATGCAGTTGGGCTTGAAAGAAGAGTAGGAATTAGTGGAGGGTCTGAATCCCGTCTCCCACAACTCATTTCGCAGACAAGATGACTTTTACGGGTGCATCAGCTGGGCTCCGCAGAGGCACAGAACACCCTTCCACAGCTCGGCTGGCAAAGCGGAGGGCTGCAGGTGTTTGTCAGCAGACACAGATGCCCTCTGTTTCCATCCTTCCCTCCCCATAGCAGAGGCTCCATTTAATTGACTGACCTTCCTCGCCCACTCTAGCGCAACATACAGCGATTCAGCCTCAGGGGACGATACATGAGGCGGGCAGGGAGCGCACACAGGGCCCAGAACGCTTGGTTCCAGGGCTCAGAAGGACAGCGTGCCCAGCATTACAGAGCCGCCTCCTGTCCTGCGTGCGGCTGCACAGGCTGGGCACCACGCGGTCACATCAGAGTCTGTGTGCGTGGAGTTGTGAAATGCAGGACAGGCCGGCCCTACCCCGAGAAGAGGCGCCGCTGGGGCAGGTGTCTGATTGCCGTGCTCTGGGCAGTGAACGCTAAGTTGCCCGGGCCTTTTGCTCAAGCCAAGAGCCCTTTTCTCACTGTCACTTTCCTTCACCTTCTATCATTGCAAGAATCCTCTTAAGCATCTCTTTAGATCCGCTGGGTGGAGTGTGTGTGTGTGTGTGTCTGTGTGTGCGTGTGTGTGCGCGCGCGCCCGCGCGCCCCTCCCGGTTCCACGGTTCGCTGAGCAGGGGTTCAGAAACTTCTCCAGAGCCAGGCCAACCAAGCAGGGCGCCTCCGCCTGCGCGCTGCAAACACGGCCGGACAGGGCCGAAGAGGCCGCCAGGGGGCGCTGGCCGGACCGCGCGCCCGCGGCAGGTGTGGGGGCCGCGGAAAGTCCGCCGGAGGGTTCCGGGGTGCGCGGTGGCAGGACGCGGAGGGAGGCGGAGGGCCCACTCTCAATCCCGCCCGCGAACCCCGGGTCCGGGGCCCCAGCTCCCTCCTGCACCGCG